TTTTCCTCGATTTCAGAATCGCGAAATAAAATCCTCGGCGATTTTTTTTGCATAACTTGTCAGTGAACTACGGCTATGTGTAGTAAATTCTGCTCCATCTGAAAGCACGTGATGATGATTTCTTGCTGATTACAGAACCGACATTACTAACAAATTGCGCATGACAATCGCATTCGATTAATCGTGCAGCCCTAGGTCTAAGGTTCTCGTCGTATGTCTTTTATAGTGTTTTTTAGAGGTTGAATTGAAATCAAATACTGCAATACTGCCCTTAATACTTCTGAATGTGATGTCTGCTTCATAATTATTGAGAAAAGTATGGAAAAACATGTTTCAGATCACTCAAACCATATATGGAAATGGAGGCGCCCTTATATGGTTACTAATGGGGTTTGATGGTCATCTAGTGGAAAAGCTTGGTACTACGCCCAAACAAAATCGCACTGAAAGCTCATTTTTTGAGATATCAACCTCAAATTTGGAACACGACTTGTTCAGACTTTTGGTTTTAATTTTCTAGCAGTTTTAGAGTAAATCATGCTTTGTAAAATATATATTTTATATAAAATACTTTAATTAGAATTTTTACATTTTATATTTTCATAAACTTGAACTTCCATAACTTGTTTGCAATATAATTTTTATAACTTCTTTTCACTTCTACAATAATCTGCCTAGTGTCTTCTTTAAAAAAGAGACCAACCTTAAGTCTGTGCTCCAAAGCATTCACAATTTCTAACAATTTAAGTTGGAAATGTCACTTTAAGTTCTATGCTCAAAAAGTTGAACCGACAGTTAACGGGTTAATTAAATTAAGTGCTTTTGTCATTTTTATTAATTTGTCTTTTAAATAGTTTGAATTTATTTTTATTTCAGTTTTACTTTTAATTTTATGGCATTCACAGTAGTTGCTGTTTGAAAATGTATTGTCAGCATAGTGATGTACCCTGACACAGATTTATCACTTTTTCACATTTTCTGTTTTAGGAAAGAGGTCGATGACTTCATTGCAGTCAGCGATGCCGGTTCAACAAAAAGAAATGCATTGTCCATCTTCAAAATCGCTAGAAAATTATTATTTATATTGAGCAAGGATGATAAGTTGGTGAGCATCATGCAATGTTAAGATTTTTATTGGAAGAGGATTTGTTTAGTTACTGTAGTATTTAGTATGATTATTGATGGCATTGTTTTTTTTCGCTTACACAGAGGTTTGAGAAGCTGTGTAGAATCATACTAAGTAGCATGGATGTGGAGAATGAACCTAAAGTAAGTTTTTAAACAAGCGATGACTGAAATATACTTTATCGTATCATACGTTATAATAGTTCTGCAATTTTGCATTGTTGTGACAGACTATTACTTTTCTAGGTATGGTATGTATCCCTGGCCCTTTCAAAAGATCTCACCATCCTCTGGCTGAAACAGATCAAAGATGTGCTCTGGGTCTCTTGTGAATTTC